TGTGTGTGTGTGTGTGTGTGTGTGTGTGTGTGTGTGTGTGTGTGTGTGTGTGTGTGTGTGTGTGTGTGTGTGAAAATAATCTTATCTATGTTTCTCGATATAACTTGCTTGATAACTTATAATATCAAATTTATTTTATTTTTTTCTTACAAAAAAAAAGAAAAAATCAAAATGTATGAGATGAATTTTTAATAACGAATATTACGGATTATCTATTATTGACTCATAAAATAATCAGTAATGGAAAATAACTTTAATTTAAATGACAATAAAAAAACAAGCCAACAATCTTATTATAACATAATTATGTCTTCTTTCTACAAACCGTTATTTGTAACGTTGTTTATGTAAAAAACATTTAAGTTTTGATTGCCTAAATTATTTTTCGTAAATTAAGAAAATGTTTATACACCACGTACGGTTTTAAAAAACATATTATAAATCAAATTAATATACTTCCAAAGCAAGAAAATTTAAAAACAAGTTCTCAAAGTTGTGATTAATGATTTATAAACGAAAAGAAAGCAATAAAATCCAATTTGTATCACTTTGCAAGGCTTATTTGTATTTTGTAAACAACGTACTCTCCATTCTTCACACATTACAAAGATCAAACAATCACTGATTCAAACGTCACGAGAAAGTCGTCTGTCCGAATTCAATTCACGGTGCGTCACAAAAAAAACTTTTTTTTCATATTAAGCACATTGAAACCCGAGACCGAACTGTTTCTGATTGACAAAACTAAAAGGACACACTAGACAAATCCTTCGCTTAATCAACCCGGGTCAGTTTCCGCAACAGCGCGTTAGATTTATGCACACCGCTCTGCAAATCTAATTTTATGAGATCCATGGAAGATGTATGGGCGAGTACGATGCCTGTCATTGTCAAGCGTGTCGTGTCACTTACCCGGCGACAGCGGCCTCTTGACGGGCGACGATCTCGCGGTGCGATGGCTCGCCGTTGACTGTGCCGCGCCGTCGCGACTGGCCGCCGATATCTTGGCGCTCATCCTCGCCGCGAGGCCACCGAGGCCGCCCGGCGGTTCCGGCGATCCTGACTCACGTACCAGGAAGCTCAGTCCGGAGGACGACGTAGGAGCATTGTCGGCCCGCCGAGTCACGGCGGTGACGGGTCCGCCCGCTACGTTTCTCTGCAGGTGCCCGGCCGAGATTGCTCACGCTGACCTGCAAAAAAAAACCCCGCCGTTAGAACGATCGTAGACGCAGTGCGATCTGTCGCGTGGCGACGAGGCGGCAGGCGGAGGAAAAGCGCGAAAAAAAAACGATGTCCACTCCGATTTCGCGAGCTGGACTCTCGAATAAACAAAGCTCGAGATCCGAGACGCACGTTCTATTTTCTCGTCGCTCGCGCGGTCAATGGACCGCGCACTTTTAATAATCATATTCCGAGAAATTTTACGCCATTTGACGCCTTCCGAGTATGACGACAATAATAAGAGGGGCCCGGAAACCTTGGAAGGATTCAGAATAAACAGATGCAAGAGCTTATCCCTATATACGCAGTCATTTCTCTTCGCGTGACCTTTCGCGTCGCGTTTGAGTTATCGAAAAAATCACGATCGTGGCGAGGAGAGACAGGGAAGAGCGTTGACTCCGCTTGACGGAGGAGCCTTGAGGAAGACGGAACAGGAACCTCGGCGGGAACCAAGGCGATCCAGAATTTCTCGTTCGACCGTTCTGACGCGCTTTTGAACGTATCGAGGAACGTGATCGGTTTTTGAACGTTCAAGCACGCGCCTTGAATGCGCGATTCCGGTAATAGCCGGCGCTCGATATACTCTAGACGGGAGTGAGGGATTATCGACGTCGCCGTGAGAGAGGGAGAGAGAGAAAGAGAGAGTGAGGAGTTACGAGCATAGTTCCCCCTTACACACCTGCGCGACACGGCGTGTACGTGTGTATTTAAATAGCGTTCTCAGCCTCGGGGCGAAAACGCAAGGCTGCGGCAAGGTCTCGCGGCGCCATTACCGATGCACACGACCGAGAGAAAGCCGTTCGAGGTCCTCTCTCTTTTTCCCTCCGTCTCTATCTTTCTCGTGCGCGCGCGCGCGCGCACGTAAAATATTATTTTCGTGTCGAAAGATAAGCGCGCGCACTCGACGGAGTATCTGGACGAAATATAAGGGCGCGCCGCGCCGGAGAGAACCGGCGATGATTCATCCCGCGCGCGAGGGCCATTAGATAAACCTGAGATTCGAAATGCGACGTTTCACGAGCGTCGAACTTCCCTCCCTTCGTTTCCTTCCGGCTTATCGATCTCGGTATTCTCGCGACGGCATCCGATTCGACATTTGCGTTCGACGACTGGATTATATTTAATTCAAATCGAGTAAATAAAAAAAAAACAAAATTCTTTTCCATGAGTCATGGATCCTCCGAGCATCTTTCAACGCGACACACGTTGGAGGGTGTTCGAATCGTTCAGCCCTCTTTTCAGCGCGTTTTTCGTAGCGATTCGCCGGAATAAAATAAAAAAGGGAATGTCTTCACACGCACATCTCGTGACGTTCCACGCTCCTCGACGAGTCCTCGACGGCGTTCATCACATCCTCGACTCGTCCCCGCGGCTCAGCTTCGGGATGCACTCGGGAACTGTCGCACGGCGCACTCGGATCGTAGAACGTCGCGACGCGGACGTCGACGTGCATGGCCCCCGTCGACGCCGTCACCGAGAGGACACGACTGTGCCGGAAGTGTCGCCCGCAACGCGGCCCTCCTCGTATGTACGCGGTGTCCTAGGTAACCCGCCGCCGCGCGCCGGAGGTCCGCGCGAATACGTTGCGCGCCCGCGCCCGCGCGCGCGCGCGGATCACGTGTACCGAAGAGAGTATCGGATCGATTTCTTCACCTGCGCAGAGTTTCTCAATAAAAGCGTTCTTAATATACAATCTTAGCCACGCGTATAAAGCTTACAATTAAATTTGCGGAATCTAGTGAAAAGCACCTGGCATGCTGCATATTTGTGCCTCCTTCAAAAGCCAAACTTCATACATATAATAACAAATAGGAAAAATTGATAAGGTTTAAATGTTTATTAAAAATTTATCAAAATTCTTTTAAATTGAAATAATTTTCAATTTAAAATTATTTAAAAATTTCTAAAAAGAAATGGAGTTGTGATCAGTTGGGCTTTTGAGAGATTCATCCAAACTCTCATTTTTCTTCAAATTTTTCTGTAAATTTTGCGAATCCATACAGTATAAATTAAGAATTTACATTTGCATATTCTTATCTCACCTTTATGGTGCTCTGAACTTTTGTGTCTACAAGTTCGCCTTCTTTAACCGAAGTGTCCTACATTTCTTATATTTGAAGCGAAATAACAGAACGTTAAAGAAAAGGAAAAAAAAGAGAAAAAAATGTAAACAGAGCCCTCTCGGAACTCGTGTTATTCTATACTCTATAGTATCGCACATGTTAAAATTCAGTTGGCGAGCGACGACAATCCGCGCCCGATATGGGTACCACTGGCGGACACAACGATCCAATCTGCTTCCGTATTTAGCGAAACGCGTTTACTCCGTGGCATTACTTCACCCTTCGCGAGAGTATACTCATCGTATTTAGATTATATCGATTGCCGTTGCACGTCACAGCTTGACCTACTTGTAATGTTGGACGTTTCTTATATATATATGTATATATATAAACACACGCGCCACACACACACACACACATACACATACACACACACATACACACAGTGAGGCATTTAACCCTTAGCTCTCTGCTATGACGAAAAAAGGTCATTACGTACCACGCTATTTGGTCGTCATACCAGTACCAGCTAATCGAAAAAAAGATTAACCATTACGTGATCATGTACAATTCTGTAATGAAATAAATATATACATACTTTTGATTAAAGTTTATTGGTGACGGATGAATGAAATAAAGAATATAAAATAGAATTAAATTTAATTAATATAATTAATCGCGCATCTCTATAAAATCCAATTTATTGAAATAGGTTATTTAAAATTGATTTTAAGAATTGTCTCAGTTTCATTTTCTTCTTTTTTTTTTTAAAAAGAACGATTATAATAATTGATCTCGTAACGGAAGGAAACAAAACGGAAGATGTACGAAATTAAACATAATTTCTTTCTCTTTAACAAAACTTATAATATAATATAATGCACTGAAGATTTCCTTGAACATTGTTAAGTTATAACTTTATCACAAACCCTTCATGTGCCGGACGCCTTATTTCCTTATGTCCTGCTTATTTAAAATAAAACTCAGTTTTCAATAACGTCATATATAATTTTTTCAGAGAATTCTTTGTCATAAAAGAGTAAACTAAAAGGACGGTGAATGACAATTAGTAAGGTCTTAAAAATCATAATTTCGTATTAAGCATTTTAAAATAATTTGTCAAACATGCAATCAGTAATATATATTCGAAAATATATTCAATTAAACGTAATGTGTTAAAAACACAAAGGTTCACTACATTCGACGACTTCCACTCAGGGAAAATTTATATTCACGAATCTCTATTCGCTTAATACGAAACACTTCTCGAAATATTAGCCATGAGATTTAGGAAAAACTCATGTAATTGTTTTAGCGAAAATAACGCATTAAATTCCTGCTTTTAAACGATACAGTACATAAAGAATATATAAAGAAAACAATACTAATTAAAAAAAATATTAACCAATACAAACGAAATAAAATCTAAACGTAATAAAACGTAGATAACGCAATAAAAACGAGCCATTTATAACTGCATCACATTTAAAGAGCTGCGCGGCTCTATGCCCTTGCAAATCTTGTTATGCCGCGACAACGTAAAATATACTCGCATACGTAAAAATAGTTTGACCAGTAAAGCGACCGGGAAGTCCGGACAGGGTGGTTTGTAGTCGACTTCCTGCGCGAGCTGCAGAATCTGCGCGCCAATGTTGTCCTCGATGGAGAGTCTCTCGAAATTACGCATGAACGTGTCATCGAGGTTGGAGATGTAGGAATTGAAGCAGCTCGACGCGTCTCTGTTGGACGTGCCGGCAGCATAGGCGACGCACACGTCGCAATTAACGTGCGCCCGCAAACACTCGTTGAGCAGAAACTCGCACACGCGCTGAAACGCGCTTTTCTCGGGCAGTCGTAAATCGATGTCGCGATAATTCGTCGTCGTGACGTTCAAAACCACTTGAACGGCGGGCGGAACTTCGTCGGCTAGGGAGGTCGCCGACGGGGACGACGCGATCCGCTTGAGCATCTTCTGCCCGTTCACGGTGGAATCGCCCCCGCTTGAATGCTCGAGGAAATGCTTGCTTACGAGATTCTTGAACGCGCGAGTAAACAGGATAGGCGTGGGTTTGACGCGATTTCCGCTTTGCCGTCTAATGGAACGAAAAACGCGCTCGATGCTCTCATGATTTAGTCTTCTCGTGTAGAGAGAGGGGAGCTGGTACTGCTGCTTCAACACGTCCCACAGTTGAATAACCGCGTTGATCGTGATCTGCCAACGATCGAAGCTCCTGATCGACTTGACATGCGCGCCGTTCCTGTCCACCACCTTGATCGACTTCAAAAATTCGAGTGTCTGCTGCAGGAAGCTTATCTCGTGCATGCTACCCGTGAAAGCCTGTCCGAAATTCTTCGTGTTCGATTTTGTGGACGCGGAGGAGTTGAGGATGTCGAACAGCTGATCGAAATTGTGTATAAACTCCATCGTGCCGAGCGTTTCCAGAGGTAACTCACCGGATGCGACTTGCGTGCTCAGACCTGCAGCTATACTGCTACTGAATACCTCAACGGCGTACTTGGTTTCCACCTTTTGACATCCTTTAGGCTCGAGATGACCCACGGACAATTTAGGAGCCAGCGGCAGTCGCATCTGGCTGTCGCGTCTGAAAAAGAGTTCGATATCCGTCCACGAGGCCCTCTTCTCGCGGAAGCGGAGCTCGTAGCTCCTGAACACGTTTCTGGTCGCTCTCATTAGCCGTGTAACGTCGAAAATGTAAAACACCCTTTCGTCGTTCACCAGAAATGACGGGCGTTCCGCGGAGATTCCCAACAGCCGTGACAATCGCAGAAACGTTGACGATATATTTGTAATCAAAACGTGCACGGTCGCGTCGATGCTCTTCAATCTGACTATCAATTGGAATATCAGATTCTTCACGACATCGGCGCGACACGTGCCGCCGTGGAAGTAATAGGCGACGGGCTGTTCCCAGTCGCCGGCCAAGCTACACGCCATTATCACCAGGACCTTTCTCGCTAACGTGCGCCGCTTCTGCGTGCCGGTGTCGTGGAAACCGACGATTCTGTCGCGCGTCAGATTGTAGAAGAGATGCGGCCTCAGTTGCATCTCGTTCACCGACAGGGAGCAATGTCTCTCCGCCGGCGGCAGCGACCTCAGCTTCAAGCGCAACGCGTTAAACACGTTGTCGTTCAAGCCGGGCGGCATATCCCAGTTGCGGATGTGTCTCCACAGTTGACGCACTGTCGGCAGTTGGCATAGCGGCCGGTAGAATCTATACGCGCCCGACGCCATGAAGAATAACTCGAGCGCGAATTGCCTATTCTCTAAGCTCTTTTTAGCCTTGGACCTCTCGCGAGCGTTGATGCATGCCGAGACTAACAGAGCGGAATTACGCGGTAATAAGTCTGCACACGCAGTTTTAAATTGATCCATGCTCACGCGACCGTCCTCGTTTTCCGCGCCGAGCGTTTTCCTCCGCTTTGCAACCAGACTGTCGCCATGAATGTCGGATTTCTCCATAGGTCTCTTCCCTCGAAGAAAGGAGTCGATGTACAGCCAAGCTTCCGGTGTCTGCGTCGAAATGTTCCAATGTCTTTTTTTTGATGCCCTGCAACATTTAACAAAGTTATCAATAGCAAAGTTATCTTCGTTTCATTGTTAAATTGACGTTTTTGTGTTTTAGTATAATAATGACGTTAATCACGCTGAAGCAAACTTTTGCAAAACTTTAGCAGCTTTACTAAATCAAATACACGTAGTATTCTAAACAGCACACTTTATTCTAGGGACCGCCCTTAGAACGTGGAGAACGTCTTTAGAACGTCTCTGGGAGGTGTGTGCTGTATGGAATTAATCCCCAGCAGCGATATTCACCTGTCGCCATTTTGTTTCGCTGCACCGACCGATACTGCTTTCGACGACGTTGTTGGCTGTGAATAATCCATGTCCATAGATGTTAAATCTATAATATCTCTGTAAGGAAAATAATAATTTTCTGTTTAACAATTACAAATGGCGTTGTATAAGTTGATCTTTTAAAATCAGCTTACGTATTGCTGCATTCCTCCTTCGGAGATGCTCGCGACGGTGTCGATGATGTCGACGCTGTTTCTGTATTCGTATATATTTCTTTGACGAATTGTATTTCCTTCATCAAATTCCTATTAATAAAGTGAACATTTTTAGTGTTTTTATTTCTGTCGACATATCGTAAATAAATTTGCACAAACTTCATTTACATTATATTCTACTAATAGAACGGGAATAAATAAAGGTATTTAATAAATATTAATTGAAAAGAAATGAATTGGATATTTTTTGACAATAATACATTTAAACGCGTGCTATGTGTAATTGACCTAAATATTGATATAATTATCTCTAGTTCAATATCTCTAACCTGTTATCATTTTCTGACTTCTCTTCTAGCAATGTGGTTTGAGCACTTTGAGGTGACGATGTATTTCTGATAAAAAGTTAATTATTTAACAATTGTAACACAGAACGTGAGTTAAGAACTTGTGAGTCAGAAACATAATGCTTATCGATAATAACGCAAACAGAAAAGTTACCTATTCTCATATGCCTGCTTTACAGACGCTCTAGGAAAAAGTGCTTGCACCGGTGAAATTATAGCCGTATCTCTGCATTAAGAAATTATATTTACTCAACAAATAAAAATGATCAACGACAGATTATATATAGTTATATGTATGCAAATTTATTTAAATCGTTCGAATTATTATAGATTATATTGTTATTGTTATGGTAAAATAGAAGCTCACCTTTCGTCAGGTTTCATGGGATGTGTTTGAGATACTTCGGATAGCGATAAATCTGACGAGTTTCTGAAAAAAAAATTGCATTATTTATTAACTATTCTATTCCTTGGGCAAAAAATCAAATAAAAGCTTACTTATTTCTGCTCTCTGGCTTCAAAAATATCGTTACAAAGGAAATCGGTTGAAACAAAGTTGTAGATGAATTATTACTGTAAAAAGAGAAAAAGAAAGGGGATTGCACTTTTAAAGTACTCTTCTTAAGTACAATTTTAAAATCTAATAGAAAATCTTATTTGAAAACTGTTTCATTGCAATATTGTAATATATTTTATACATATATAAACTGTAGATAATAACAGAAATATATAAGTATTTACTAACGTTCCTGTTTGGTTTTGTAATGGCTTCAAAAATATTGACGGCACAGCTTCTTTGCTCAAATAAATTCTTCCCTCTATATTTCGAAACATTTCTACTCGAAAATGTAAATGACATAACCGATAAAATCGATTAGCATATTCTGGGCCTATTGGTACTAAATCCATTCTATTGCATGCCTTAATCCATTCTAGCCATCTAAAATTATACAATCTTGGATATAAATCTGAGAATATAACACATGTTGCAATATAAAATATTCAAACGTAGAATGTAAGTAATATTTGAAGATACCTATTTGTTTCACATACTAATACAAAATCAATATTTAAAAAATTCATGTATATATATTTAAGAGAAGAAAGAGCTTCAAATTTATAATGCACGTTAATTTAGATCAAATAATCACAAATACCTTTTCTTATCTTTCGGAAATCGAAAGAAATGCCGTTTCATTATTTTTATATTCAGCATGCAGCCTGGTGCAGAGCACCAACGAGTGTTACTGCTGTCCATTCTTTAATGTAGTATTATTTATCACACAACAGTTGACTTTCTACTTGAAAACCTAAAATAAAAACGAATATATGTACAATATATGACTATTGTAAATATCTTATATATTTCTAATCCTATGCTTTGTACATTAAACGAAGTACATTTTTAATCTGAAAGTTTTGTATTTGTAACATTACCTATTTATATATAAATAGATAATTTATAAATTCTAAATATTCTAACCACAATATCATGTACAATATGTAATTTTATATTTAGCTTTGATATATAAGCAGTATGTAAAATACAGCATGTTATAAAGATTCTTACAAAAAAAGCAAAGTTTGATTAATGCGTAAAAATCTAGAATATTGTATTTTAGAAGTAATAATAGTATAAATAAATTGCTTAAAATGTAATTAATTCTCTCTGAAGTAAATATAAATGTTTTTAATCGCTCGTTTATTATTGTTATACCAAAATCCAAGTTCAACTTTTCTTACTCAATTTCTCACAACTGCAGAAAGCTTTGTTTGTTACCATTTATTTGCTTTTATATACATGTACTAAATCCTGTTCTGTGAAATTGTTTCAAATTATTCATAAAACTGCATATTGAATTTATGCACAAGTGCCAACCTTCAATAAGTTTTTATTTCAGTTTCCTGCATGAATACTGCCATTCGTAAGTAGGTATTTGCATCCAATTTTTTTCGTACCTCTTATAAATGCAGAAAAATTTTAAAGAATGTTTACCGTGAAATAGAATCAACGAGAATCAACAGACAAACACGATTGACGACACATCTTGGAATCCTAGAATTTCGTGGAGTAAGGGAGGTTGTGAATTCTACGAGCGAATACTTACGAGCGACAAATCTTACAAATTTCGCGAACAAAACTCAGTGCATCCTCAGTCAATCCTCACGTTTCTCTCGCTGATCCTGTCGACACGCGAACGCATCCTCCCGTTCCTTGCGATCCCCGCTTCCTCCTCGGGCGCAACTTTTCGGAGGTACATAAAAAACGATCCGTTAGATTAAACCGTCGCGGTTTACGCGTTAACGTTTCCCCACGTTACAACGGAAGTAACCGCGAATCTTTCTCGAAGGAGAAAAGGCCGATAGAGAGTAGAATTCCTTACGAAGAGAAGGAATCGGTGTCCCTTAACAAACGAGAAACGAGGATTCGCGCGAAGCGATGCGTGCGACGCGTGGCGTGCGTTCGTAAAAAGAGTCAGCTGAACATAATGGATTCGATTGGTCGCCCATGAGCTTGTGCACGGTCCATCAGCCACTGCGTGCGCGCCGAATACGCGGCAATTCGAGGCATCACAAATTTACGCACGCGTAAAAACGCATCGAGACCCTGCAGAAATGTTTAGTTTTGCAAAAAATTTTCGCAAAACTATTTGTTGAAAATTACGTTGCTATTAATTTCAATTTGTCTTTATTACAATTTTTACATACTGATACAAGGATATAAGAAACTAAATTTTTCGCAAAACTATTTGTTGAAAATTACGTTGCTATTAATTTCAATTTGTCTTTATTACAATTTTTACATACTGATACAAGGATATAAAAAAAACTAAATTTTTCGCAAACTATTTGTTGAAAATTACGAAAATTACATTGCTATTAATTTCAACTTGTCTTTATTATAATTTTTACATACTGATACAAGGATATAAAATACTTACTTTTTAAAAGAGATAGAGTGTCGGAGTATTATTCTAATGACTTTATTTGGAAATTTTTCTAATCATGCCATATGTACAAAGGAATCAAATATCTTTCTAAATAAATAAATAATTAAAAATACAATTTCATCTACATATGCTGTATGTATATTTATACATTATATACAATATATGTCCATGCATATATATATATTATATATATATATATATATATATATATATATATTTACGGCATAAAATCTGTGCTATATGTCCTTGTACTCAAAAATATACTAAACTTTAATATAGCATCTATGGTAGGCTCAAGTACTATTTCATCTTCAGCGGACCAACCAACAGTGTCTGCAGCTAAAACAAAAACAATATTAGTAAGCATCACAATAAAGATAAAGAAAAAAATAATCAGATAAAGAAAAAGATAAAGAAAAGATCCAGCATATATCAGAAAACAATAAAAGTTATAAACAAGATAACAAGATAATCTATTTGAGATTAGATGTGTAACATTTGTAAAAAAAATCAAATCATACAAAAAATCTAACAAAATATTTTTATAAATTGTATAAGACAAGAAAGTAATCTTAAAATATCTAGAGTATCTTAAAGTATCTTAAAATAACTAAAAGACGTCTTTAATGTTTGAGAAATAACATCGAAGTAGATATTTCGTAAATCTTTTGAATTAGCATATGTTTCTTTTTAATTAGGAAAATAGAGATTTAATTTTTAAAATATTTTTGCAAAGATAAATCACATTTTGAGAATTAACAGCGTCATGAACAACGTACAATAATTAATATAGAGAATGCAAATATGTCATTATTGAAGCAAACATTACAACTATCAAGTATTAGAAATTCAAAAAATTTCACAATTTTAGTAATAATAGTCACATACTTAGATTACTGATGTTAACTACAGGCGGTGCAGAGAATAGAGTAACGCGCGTTTTCTTCAAGAGCTTACTCTTTAAACATCCCAACTTGATCAGCATCTGCAAAAAAATTATTTTTGCCGAATAAACTTCTTACAGTAAAATAAAAAAAAAGAACATAGAGGCTGCATTTTATTTTTATAAAAAAATTAAGTTACAGAAATTCTGTAATATTTATATCCAACATTATAATAGAACAAATCTCTTTAAGAGCTCAGCAATACTGATTTATCAATTTACACACAAATATGTATATATACAATCGATAAAACGAACCTCAAGCAATTCACGCGTATGATAGGGTTGTAGAGCGGGAACGAATCTGCTTTGCATTTTCACCATCGTGAGCCCGGGATGAAGCAAGCAGTAACTCAGAACCGCACCCAACATTCGATCTAGAACTTTGCGATTTAACACGCCGTCTATGCGTATCCATGGTCTTATCGCGACCTTTATTTCCTCGGTAGTTCTGAAAGAGAACAGTTCAGTTTCATCAGTATCGTTTTGGGAGGTTTCTGAGAATTTCCTTCGCTATTCTTTTTTTACACATACGTGAAATCTAGTTGCTGCGCAGATTTGTACACGTCCTTTTGTGGGAGTAAACGCGTCCTTTGCTTGCATGTTCTTTTTCTCGTGCGCGAAGTACCCTCCTCGTTGATCTCGCTACTTTCCTTCTTCTCATTCTTCTCGTTAATTAAATCATTGTCCGTTTTTTCGTTTTTCTTCTCTTTGCTTTCTTGGTTGTCCGATGATGTTGACGCTATTGCAATATCTATTTCATCTGTTATATAATATGTTAATTTTAAATATTAATCTTAAAAAACATTATATTAGAGATAGATGATCCATTTAACACACATACGCAATTCAAGAAATTTGGAGACTTCAATTTTTGCTTATTTTGCCACTCTTTAAAAATTTATGATACAAAAAGTTATAACAATAAAGCATAAAATATAGAGTGATATGATTAAAATAATATTCTTATAAGTGCTTCCATTTTAATAAAATTTTTCAAATGGAATCTATAGAACCCATAATAACAAAATCTTATTTGTAATTATAAACAAGAATTGAAGTGTTTGTTTACGAGTACAAAATACTTCAGCAAAATATAAAATTATACAGCAGATATAAGTACTATTACGTTTTTCATTTGCATTTTCTTCTTCATTGTGGAGATTCATACTTTTCGCATCCGTCTCAGCATTTATCTCAGCGTTCATTTCCCCTGGCTGCATTGTGGCATATATACTGTCCTTGAATGGCACTAGGGATTCTTGTTCAAGACGATATATCTTGTAGGAATGAATTAACCAAGGATCCACGTAACGATGATGAATATAGCGCGGTTTGGTGACGCCAGAGCGTAAAAATATATGATTCTCCACTAAAAGCGAAGCGACCTTGTACAAATCTTCTCCTTGCTCATCGAAGAACTTATCCTAGACAAGAAGAAAAGCGCATGTAAAAGAAAATATGTTAAATTAGCAAAATATTAAGAAACAATTTGGTTTAAAAAAACAAACCGCTAAAAGATAAAACAGAAAGGCAATAAGAAAATTACTCTTTCTCTAAAAAATTACCAGCAGCTCCTGCGAAGTGACGCCGATTTCTCTCTTCTCTTGGACGAACTCGCACACCGCGTCGACATATTTCCAATCGACTGCTATTTCCTTCTTCTTCGTCACAATCTCGCTCTTGTAGTCCGAGTAAGAGATATCGTTCTTCGGAAAAATGGCAGTCCGATTTAACTCGTCCAGAAAGTCATTTACAATCTCGATTTTCAACGGTATTAATTCATTGGGCACCGAATGACCTTTAAAGTTCTCAATGTCTAATGACGCGGATGCTTCTACAACTGAAGACGATGGCAATTCCAAGTTGTAGAACATCCTGAAGCTATTAACCACAAAGTATTCGTGGGCGTGATGACTGTCGGTTACCGAGAGATCGTTTAATTCCTCTCTCATCCTCAGCATGGCTATTCTAGTATATTTCTTTTGAACGTCACTTGTATCTTCTATCTTGCTGCAAGAACTAAAGTAGTTCGTCTCGGGCAACATATTCTTGATAATCTCGCTGACGCGTCGGGGAACTGAAGTCATATCAGTTATATTCGGCTGCATCGAAGGATCTGGCAATTAAAATAATATATTTATATTATTTTAAACAAATTAATTATAGAATTTGACTGGAAATCTCAATAATATAATTTAATATTGCATATTAAGTGTATTTTATGATTAATTAAATTTTTTATAATTGATCAGACAGACAAAAATTTTATCATCATAAAAATGTAATATATACCTTCTTTTATCTGCTTCTTTAATTCATTCATCACTTTGAAAGGTTTGGAGCTGTCCGAAAGCATTTTTTCAATGCTTTCAAGATCATCGCACAATTCTTCTTCAAGAAGCTTAGATTCCTCATTTTCATCCGAGTCCTCGAAATCCATCGAATCCTCGGAGTTCAGTCTTGCTCTCTTCGAAAGCTGCTCGTCGCAGTCCGTGGAATCTTCTTCAATATTGGCAGATCTTTTTCTTGATAAACGATTTGCACGAGTTTTCTTACTACTTTGCTCATGAGAACGTTCCCTCGGACTCGTCTCTTCGGGTTTGTCGCTTTCGTCAAATGATCGCTTCTTGTCGAGTGATGTATTTTCATTTTGTTGAGATTGGAAGTTCTCTTGCTTGTCATCAATACTTTCCTCGTTTTTACGAGAGATCTTCAACATTGGTTCTTCAGGCTCGTCGTTCTCGAGTTTTCTCCTTTTCAAAGAATTTTCCTGGGAAATTTCTTCCGTTTCAGAATCTCTAGCATTCTGAGCGGCGACGTTCTCAAACTTAAAACGGTAAAGTCTTGTCAAAATATCTTGGTACCTTTGGGCAACCCTGAAATCGTCTTTGCCTTGATATCTCGCATCCAACATAATAATTTGGTCCGGCATCTCGATGTCGAAGTCGATATGATCGCGTGCTAGAAGATCATGCATGATGGTAACAATGCCACTGGAAATCGGGATCTCAATACCGTTGAATTCTGTTTCTTGTTCCTGTAAAGGAACATTTTTGCGCTCGGAATACCATTGCAGTAATCTAATTAAGACGTCGTAGGTCTCCTTGAAGACATCATAAGTCCATTTAGTTTGGAACTTGTAGATATAGTTAATGCTCAGTTGATACTGCGAACTGCTCATCGGCATATAGTTGCCGTACTTTTTAATAGTCGCCAAGTGATGCTTCTTTACCGTCACCATTTGATCCGATCTGATCTTATTCATCGCTTGCTTTAGAAGGGTCTCCGAATAATGCTGATATACCTTTAACAAAAAAAAAAAACTTACTAATAATATCAACCTAAAATTTCTTGCTACATAATTTAAAAATTTTAGAAAGTTATAAATAACAATATAAAATCAATTGATTATAGATATGTTGCATAAATACAATAAATTCTATTTAAATAAAACAAAATATTTTATATTATACCATAAAGAGCTGATAGGCCCAAGACCGCCTGTCCTTTCCACAGCACATGGAACTGTGTATGATGGAATTGATAGTCGCCGAATGAATGTCATTTATGCTTCGCACGTCCTTCACGAACCCCTGATTATGGGACGGCTTCATCGGATGGACCACCTCGAAGAGAAGATTAAACTCCTGCACGGTCTTCGGCATCGCCATATGCTCCTTTGGCTTGATCTCCGCGATGTCGTAATACTTCTTAACGATATAGCCGACGAGCTCCTTGAAAACCTCCGTCACTCGTTTCTCGTACTCCGTCGAGCTCGAGCACTCGCCCTTCAGTCTTTCCATCACGCCGCCGTATCGCCTATCGACGAACGGATCCTGCTTGATCTCCTCGATGCCCAGCGTGACGCTGTTCACCGTGCGCGGCTGTCGCAGCATGTACATCAACCGGCGCTGGCAGGCGCGCGAGGTCTTGTTGTACGAGCTGTAGGAGAACGTTCGCAGGACATCCCGCACAGCTATGAAGCTGACCACCTGCTTGCGCGGATTCGGCGACAGGTAGGTCGTCGCCACTTTGCATACCAGCAGGATATTGTCTTCGTGAGTCTCCCACTCTACCCGCAGCTTATTCATCTGCTGCATCGCCCGGTAGTCGTCCTCGTCGTACTTGAGACGGCGCTTCCGTACACTTTTCTTGCGCGGCATCACACGCCGCACGAAGGACTTCTGCCTGCTGGACTGATGCGACGGTAGGGCCTCGTTCTTCCGTCCGGCAGTGCTGAGCTGATTGTGTACCTTCTTCCGTAATTCGGTCATGCTGACGGTAGACGGTGGCGGTGGCGGCCCCAAGATCTTCTTCAGACCGTCGTACTCCGTATACTTAACTGGTTTCGCTTGAATTTTCGATAGATGCAAGTCCCGTTGGCCCGTGCCGGATTTTCCATAATTCCTAGAAGTCTGATAACAAAGAGAATATTTTCTACATAACGTCGATATATTCTGTAAACATATCGCTGTACAACTTGATCTGTACACTGATAAATAAATTAATCTCGATATTTCGATAGGTATATAAATTTAATCCATAACCAGAAATTTATCGCATATTAAATAAGAGGATTTCTGAACGGAAATATCCATTACTTGATAAAAGTGTTTATCATAAATTGCTCTTTGTTTTTATTAGGTAGGATATTAATTTAAAGAAAAAAGTAGTTTTATCTTATTTCACCTTATCAACGCAATCATTTTCTATCCTGGATGAGATTTCTTCGCTCACCTGCTGATGCGTAGGATAATTGCTTGACCAGTTCCAATTGCGTTTCAGATGAGCGAAGAAAGCTGAGTCGAGACCAGCCGCTCCTTTATGATCTCCGGGAACTACACCGGTATCTCTTTCCGCAGCCTCTTTAGGATTGCGTGCTGCAACCGCTTCTATCATAGCAGTCTTTTTGCTTAAATCCTCAAGTAGAATGTCCTTGCCATGTACCACCAGCCTACCGCCAAGTAGAGTATTAACGCAAATCGTCCACATATCGTACCAATATTTCGATACGCTCTGTAAAGAAATGTCCCAATAAGATATTACTTTATCTTCGTTGAAAATTATTCAACTAATCTATATAGATGATTATTAATCTTAGTTTTTTAAGAGTATGTATGATTTTCATATACAAAATTATGACTTATTACAATTATAAAAATTGTGTCACATATAACATTACATCAAATATAATAAGATAAAGTAAAGAAATAAATCCGAAACGTGAGTGATCAGTTTTAAAATAAATTATGTTAAAAAAGTGTCGGTACACATAAAATAATTCCAATAATCGAGATATAATATTTTCTAAACCAAAGACTAATACAAAAAGTGATTTTTACCATTCTAGCACTTTCCGAAATAAAAAGCAAAGATTACATTTGGTTTTTCGGTATTTAGAGTTAAATTTATCCCAAAACATAGAACAGAGATTTAAAAGATCCAATCATCGTTTTTTCTAAAATATTTCTAACAATATTATGAACCAGCAGTACCTGCGTGCTATCGAAGAAATACTTTGTCACTGGATACGTCTTATCTTCGATCTTGTGATAACTCGGTGCCGAAGTGGTCGTATCCATCAGTTCCGTGCGCCGATTCACATAGATGAATACTTGATCTTTGTCTTTCAGCCGTTGCGGACCAAATTGCACCAAGCCAATGTAGCCTAATCTGGTTATAGTATCATGGATATTGAATATATACTTCCGCGCATGCAAAAGAGTATTGCGTATGATGACCTAAAAAGTGAAAAAGAATTATTAAAAAAAGTATTGTATAACAAATATAATAAAATGATATCATAGGAACTATTAATGTAGTTAATAGAACAGCTCGCATTTAAATACGTATTCTTGATCTCCAAAGATACGAGCTTATATCTGATTTTCAGCTGATTCACAGGATAAAAGATCACGATTGCTAATATTCGAAACGGTTTGAACCACGCGTTTTTAATCTCTCTATAATGTATATAAGACCAGTATTTATAGTCGATTCTTATTTCAAGACTATCTTAAATAATGTCTTAAGATGCTAGTATGTGATTGATTTTTGACATTTAAAAAATCGATTATAAATACCGGCCTAAGATTCTTAAGAAATCTCAAACTTACCGGAAGGTTTTTGACAAGATAATATTTCCTGATCGGATGATTTAAGTAGTGCTCCAATTCCGGGATCGTAAAGGTAATATTATGCACCTTGACGAAAATATATAAGGGCAGGCCTAACAGAACGTCGCACATCAGCGTCCAACCGTCGGACCATCCGATGTGTTTAGGCAAGGGCGGGATGAACATCTTCCAACTTACGTCGGTGTTGTAAATGGTACTGAACTCCTGGACGAGATCGTCGTCCATCTCGTATCCTTTGGATTTGAGAATCTTCACCTGTTCTTGCTGAGATAATTTCGGTACGCCAGGGTGATCGTAGACCAGGTAGAAGAGCAGAATGTGCATCATCCGCATCCTGACGAATTTCGGGCTGAAACCGTAATGCTTGCCAGCCCTGGCATCGTACTTGTAGTTGACGGAAGACAATTTAGACGCCGTCTTGTTGGGCTCCTGCAATCGTTCCTTAGAGCCCGACGACTTGTCCGTCTTGTCCGCCTTGTCCTGCTTATCCGTCTTCTTTGCGAGCATCCTCGCCTTCTGAGACGCCAATAAACAGAACTTGACCTTCGCTTGCTCGACGGCCGACTTAATCACGGTATGATCGGTGTCGATGTTGGGATCGCAAATAAACGTCAAGTTCTTCTCGCGTCCATTTGCACTCAAGGTCAACTTAATGTTCTTCACCAGGTTATCCTTGGCAAGTTTCTGCAGTAGTCTGATGAGAGACTTCTTGTCAATCTTCACATCATAGCCCTCTTTATCTTCTTCCTCGTAGATCATCTTCATGAGTTTCGCTGTATCATCAATCACTTGATGTTCCTTCACTGCCTCGATTATCATGTTGGCACGCCTTAACAATCTAAATACAAAAATAGAAAAATATTTAACATTGATATTTACAATAAAAGAAATCTGTGAGTACTCGTGTTTTTAGGAAAAAGAATATCCAAAAGTTACAAAGACATAAGTTTTATATCGCAGAAAAATACACAAAATTATATGCAATTAAAATTAAATAACATTTATATATATATTTTTACCTAATATTATATTTCTCTTTAGCAATATGATTTAATTTATTTATTAATTAAACTATTTATTTATGCAGGGCTATTTGCATGTTTGTACGAACCTATATGTAATATTAGAGTTTTTATTCTCGCTGTTCTGCACGACTTCCATGAAACCAAAGACCTCACTAATTCCTTTCCCAGTGCGAATGGGCTTTTGCGCTATCAAATTCGTCTTTATGCTGTTATAAAATGATGTGGCTTTGGCGTCGTTGACGATCTGCTGCATAGACGTAGACATAGCGTCGAGCTTCGCTTTCTGCTCCTTCGCGTTGCTATCGGAATCCTTTGGCTTCATTAATAAAGATTTCGACGTTGTGCATCTGTATTTAGATCCGAATTTTGACAATTGGTACTTGCGCAAAATTCCATTGACGACATAGAACAAATTCTTCAATTCCATTTCCTTTTTTGCATCTGCATAAATATCTTTCTCCTCTTCAGTCTTATCTTCAATAACTGGTGCATCAACATCAGTTTCATCAACGTGACGGTCGATACAGGATTTTTTACTTGTTTGGTCGTCTTCATGGATCGCGGAGTGCTCTTCGTTTTCTGCTTGCGAGATCGTTGTGTTCCTCAGATTCTCTTTGCTCTTGCTAATTATTTTCCTGGAGAGCTCTTTAATCTTGTGTACCTCTTTGTTAAATTGCTTACTCATTTTGCTACTTTTTTCGAATTTCTTCGAGACATACTTTGTAATCCTCTGCCGGCCCATATCGTCCATATACGTTGCAATGATGCGCGACTTCACCATATTTCTCAGAAATGATCTAGCCTGTAATTTGGTGAGGCCCATCTCCTTTCCCAAACGAGCTAAAAATTATAATTCAAAATTTCTCAATTTCTATTCGCTCGTAGCTTGAAAATTAAATAACAAAGTGGTGTATTTTAGTTTTGTAATATTACAATAATATGAGTAAAGTTCATATTTCAGGAATAATAAAATTCTAAATAAAATTATAAAAATCTAGGATTTACTACTGACCTTGGGATATACCTTCCGATTGCCTAGCCTCAATAATAGCATTTGCTTGTTTCAGATAAGGAACACTAAATTTATGATTAGACACATCCAATTCAACGATGTCTTCGTCGTCATCCTTCTCTTCTTTATTCCATATATCAGCAACATCGACATCCGGATACAGCACCTGCACGACTCTTATCTTTTTCTCCTTCGAAGGATCTTGCTTTTGCCGCCACTCGTTGGACTCGGCTTTCGGATACAAAGTCCTATACGGCACGGTGATATCCGTCTTTACGATCTTTTGAAAGAAGGCCGTTCTAAACAGTTTCTTGATAGAATTCTCGATTCCAAGCTTTTTCTTAATCTCGTCGTATTCGGCCACGCCATTCTCTTTGGTTCGTAGAATATCGAGCACCTGTTCCGCCAGGTAGATCATCTTCGGCTTTCGCTCCACGTAGAAACGCGTCAGATGCAACAGACTACCGCTGCCGCAATGTCCGGCGCTCTTTTGATGGTGGACCTGCTTCGTAATCAGCTTGTGCTGCAGCAGAAACTTTCGGTGATAGAACAGGGTCTTTGGATCCTCCTTGAGCGCGGCCAAGCTGAGTTTACCTTGAGTAACCTCGCCGTGGTAACGAGCTCGGCCCACTCTCTCCAGGAAGCAGTAGCGCATGATAGTCAGTTCCAACGTCGGATTTACGTTGACGCCCATCAAAGCTTGTGTCCTAACGCGCTGAGATGCTACAATCACCAAGCTTAGCCCATACTTTTCTGTCATCTCGTCCAAACTTGCGTCTCTCACAGCGTCTGTGATATCTTTCCTTGTGTAATACGTGGCGCAAGATCCCCTCACACCTGTCTTAAAATCTTGAATAGGGCAGTGAGGATAAATATCCGGCGGAACGGTTGGCTGAAATGCAAAAAATGAAAAGGATATATATAACAAGAAATTTAAATAATAAAAAATAGAAGCCAAATTTTCAAAATAGAATTAAAATGTTAAAAGATGAAATTATTTGTAATTGCATAATACCTTATATTCAATTTTCTTATTGATAAATCGTTCAACATTTCATGAACTTTATAGAAAAAAATCATATATATATATATATATATATATATATTACATATGAAATATTTCTATAGAATATAAATTATTGTATTAATATACTCACTGGCTCGAGTATGATACCAAGATCTGGATGCACAAACTCATAACGATCGAATATTACAAGTGGCTCTCTGGGTGTCTCCAATTCGTAAAACTGAAAATCCTTCACTTTTGTGCATATAAGCCACACCTGCTCCATGAAGAACTTAGTGAATGGCTGGGATTCATTGTATCTGTTTGCTAATCGCAACCACAATGCTAAAAATCAAAAGTATGAAGACGTATGAAATATCAAAGCATTATCTATAGCAAACAGAGGATTAGCATGCAAACTATTCAGTTATTAAAAATAAAGCACTGAATGAACAACAATTGTACTTCAAAATAAACAGCAGTTAACATAATAATTGTACTTTAGAGAAAGATAAATATATTACTACGGCAATCTATGGTTTATATCTAGAATATATTATTTATCTAGAACATATTATTTATGATATAAAACTGAAGTCAAATTACCTTGTAAAGTAATGCCGTCTAACCCTTCTAAGGCAACCTCGTCGACGATCAACTCTGCTAAATTACACGTCGGATAGGCCATGTTTTATTAATAACAACGTATTTCAATGCAGTAGCTACTTTTTCTTACAATTCTATATAATTATGAAGCTTCAAACAGTTCCAAATTTCTTAGTAAGTCATGTGCGCGTACCAGTGAGATATATAAACACTGCCGTGTACTTAACCTCTTTCGCCGGTATAAAGAAACAAGCTATTGCGCATGCAAGGGTGGGGGCACGAAATGATGACCATTACCAATTCGGTCCGTGCGAAGTGCACGAATTTCAATTATTTCAATTATTTACTTTTATAAAAATCTCCCCTGTACGAATATTTTTTTGCGCTCATTACATATATAACGTCGTTGAATGCGATTCACTGCATGCTCGCATGTGATTATTGTGATTGGCTCTCCGTTTTTGGCTCTCTCCAGCAACAGCCAATAGCACGAAACGATGATCGTTCCGCTAGACGCGCCCGTAGTCCCGTTATTTCGTGATCGAAGTAGAGCCTGACATTCCTAACCTAAATTAATCGTGCGCGTTACGCTGGGAGATACGGTGCAGTTTGTTCGGATTTCCGTTCTCGCAAGAATTTCGTCATCTCGACGAAGTGATTGTCCGGGTTATATCTCGCGATATCTATTTTCGCCGAGAAGTATCACAAAAGTAATACAAAGAGAATTTATGGTGAGACTCGCGGATACCCGACAATGACGAACAGCTGGCGAGGCACGAATGTGCCAGCAAGCTCGAAGGTAAGGTCTTACACGTGCAACTTTACGAATATTTTTTTTCAATTCCAAATACAGTTTTACGTGTGTTTGTATTATCGAATGACATTTCCTTGCAATATAGTTGAAGCATGAGTGTTTGAATTATCCGTTGTCAAGAGCTATTAATTGAGCAGACTTTAGAAGTGTTTGACCAGTTTGAGAAGACCAATTCGATTGAAAACTATTTCCATTGTTGCTTGATAAATTGAAAAGTCTGATGCATCTTTTTTGTTTGTTTTACTGCAGGACCTGGAACATAATGAGTTTATGAAACGTATAAGAAAGTCATTATATTATTCCAAGTTGCCACCGATTAATTGCTTGAGTTTACCAGTTACAGGTCAGTATGATATTGAGTGATTAAAAATTAGACTATTGATGAGATATGAAGTTGATTTGTTTGTGTTGTAAATTGTTCTCCCGTATTTTAATGAAAAATTATTTACAAGTGACACATATTTGTGTCTAACGAATCAAAATTTGCTATGCTAATTACTTCAATATGACACTTAACAAGAGAAATTCTATATTATTAAATTAAATATTTTGTCTATAATGTTTTTCATATCTCATAGTAATTTTTTTATGTTGTAATGAACATAAATCACTTTTTAGAAAAAAGATTTAAGGGAAAAAACTGTAGAATATCAATTGTCAATGTTTTTAGTTTATCTGTAATTTTATCGAGCTGTATTTATAATCTGATAATAAAGCATGATCCATAATTTTATTTCTCATACTTTTAGAACTGGCAGCAGAACTTTTTACAGAAGTGAAAAGTGGTCATACGTTGGAAAAACTCGATGTCGAGGAAGCAAGCAGAATATCTAGAAACGCATGTGTCTCCCCTTGCTCGCTTGTGCTGGCCTTGCTATATATTGAAAGATTAAAGAACTGCAATCCGGAATATCTTCATCAAGTAGCACCGTCCGAGCTATTCTTGGTTTCTTTGGTAATTTATCATTTTTGACATGTCAACAATTGTAACACTTTTAACATCATTTAAGTGAATTTTTATTACCTATTGTTAGATGGTAGCCAGTAAATTTCTGCACGATGATGGCGAAGAAGATGAGGTTTTCAACAAAGAGTGGGCAAATTCGGGACAGGTGACTGTATCGCGAATGAATAAATTAGAAAAGGATTTTCTTGCTGCAATCGTAAGCAACGCATCTTATATACATTATCTTTTTTTTTTCATTGTAAAACTTATATAATTTGTAATTTAATTACCAACTGATTATTGAGTGTTTATCAAAATGTATTTTATTATTTTTCTGCCGCAGGACTGGACAGTGTTGGTGCAGCACCAAGACTTTTGGGAGAGGCTGCAACAGCTAGAAAAAAACGTGGCGTATCGAGAAGTACACAAGCGAAGATGGTGTACATATACAGAATTGAGCTGTCTGATGAATTCCGTTCAGTTGATCAGAATCGCGCAAACCCTAATAAGTGTCTCTTCGATCTGCATGGCGACTTACGCCGCCGGATTGGCGACTCTCCTGGGATCCACTCTGGTTGCTCATTTCATTGTGCAAAGCTGCTTACCCGGGGCGTCGCTTAATTCGAGACAATCGACAAATCTGTCGATGAATCTCGCGACGAATCTCACGTCAGCCGATCTGACTGATCCACTGATGAACACGCGATCCCAGGAGATTAACGATGACGGTCTTCCGATTTCCGATTCCGAGAACGTTGCGGATTATTTCGCAGCTGCGGAAACCGACAGCGACGATGAAGACGCGGCCAATTGGAAATGGTGGCTAAACTCGACGATGACCTGGCTGCCCGAGTATTGTAACTTGGAGAGCAACGTCGAGGCGGCAAATTCCACCGATCGATTATGCGTTACCAATATCGACGCCTCGTTCAACGCGACGCAGGCTATGAATATCAGGAAGATGGAGAAGATTGGGAAAACAGAGGATTTCGCACCGGAGGACTATCGTCGCAACGTCAATTGGAAGGAAATACTGGACACGACCTTGAACTGGTTGGAACAAAACTGGAGACGATCGCATTATGAAAGTGTCTTTCGGTCACCGGAATTAAAAATTTATTATTAGTTTGCTGATAAAAACTTCGCCTGTTAGACAACCTTTTCTCAGAGAATATATATCTATACCTATATATATTATATAAACCTATATTTTTTGTACTAACTTTTTGCAGTGTAACGTTCGATACTAACAAATCTGTTTTTCTCAATAAATATCCAATGTCGCATGCTACAAACGCTGTTTTAAATCTAAAAGACGATTGTGTACTGAGCGAACGAATAAGGAACAGTTTTTTTTTTTTGGAAGACTGGTATTAAAACAAGTTTTTATTCTAGTTTAATCTCTGAGATCACACATACAAGCTTTTTTTAATTGCTTTCACTTAAAATTAATAGATTTTGCGCCGAATTAAAGTCTCGTAAAACGCAGTAGATGTTAAAATCTCAGTAGGTTTAAAAAAATCTCAACCGTTAAAGAAACAATCTCATAATCACACGCAAACTTTGCTCTATACCATTACGTACTATACATTCTATACATTTATATATTAAATATTTTGTAATACTTGTTCAAACGCAAATCGTGTTATTTGTGATAGTCAAGTTAAAATTATAAAAATTTGCAGGCATTTGCGGGATATCAGTGGCCTATCCTACATGTTAATTAAATTAATTCGTTTCCCAGTCGTTTTTTAGGGCAATTCAACTACCATTGCGGAAAAGCGCGGCTATAGGTATAGGTGTCATGCCAATAATGCACCCAATCGTAACACCGATGACCCGACCCTGTATTGAATGGAAAAATGAATGAAAAGTTTGAAATAATTTCGCTGAAGAAATCTTCATCCTGATTTTTCATTATCCTAGAATCTTTTTTGCGTAAATTTCGTAATAAAATAAAATATAATGGAGCAACATCTCGTACCAAATTCGCGGCTATCCGTGTCCTAGGTAGATTCAGTTGTACTAGAGTTAACTTGGGCGCTTCGAAGCCGATCTTTTGGGCGAACATCTCAACGTAATGCACCGAACCGATTCCAATGACATCGGAGACCGTGTTGCCCAGTGCTGCCGCTGCCATAGTGGAGATCGGGAACCGTCTGTTCAGCATCAACTCGATTTGATCGCCCTGAAACATCAATCTTAAAAGTCGGCACGCAGTGGAGAGTGGAAGCCCATAAGATACGTACAGCAACGATCATGATGAAGTTGTCAAGAAAACCAAACCCGACGAACGGAATTGCATTCGCGATCGCGACTGCAAAAACACAATGATCGTCCTAGATTATCATTTGCACTTTTAACCGGAATTGAAGTTTAAATTATATACGTGTGTAAAACTTTACGTACTTTGATTAGAATTTTATAAAAATAAAATCTATTTGCAATGATAAATCTTTTAAAATAGAACAATATTGTTCTACACCTTTGTGAATCCAGCATCCCACCACTAAAAAAAAGTTCGATTATATGCCGTAATTAAATACTCATTTATTGATAGGCGCAAATTTATTGTCTCTATCCGTTCGCAGGAAATTAATATCAAAAGTACCAGATTTATTGCTCTTTCTTGTGACAATATGATATATAATCGAACTTTTTTTCAGTGGTGGGAATTCTAGATTGACGGAGATATTATTTACTTATATCTCGCGAGCAATCTATGTATATATCTATATATAGAAGAGAGATAAGATTGATTATTTGCTCGCGAGAGTATAGTCTCTCTGGCATAAAAAGTAATACATACCTAACACCAGGTCTTTTGTAGTTGGCTCTGCAACGTGTTCAACTGCAACAACAAAAAATTCAATCTAAATCCACATGTTAATTGTAATTGAAAATTACTACTTAATGCTTAATGAAACTACAGCAAGCACTAAATGCAATATGAGGTAGAATTTCTTTTTATTTTTCATGGACATCAAAATTGTATATCTAATGTGATGTATTTTTTAATGAGTTTGAATAAAAAAAGAATCTTAAGAAAATTCAAGAGCGAAGGAAAAATTTATCGTAGGAAAAAGAAATAGAAATAGAAAAGCTCCATGAATAAAAAGAATATGTTTAACAAACTCTAACAAACATAATCATATTATCAAAACAATTCTGCTTAATCTATAATTTATTAAAAAATTTATTTGGTTGAAAAAGGACTAATTTTTACAGTGGAAAAAAATTTTAAAAATTTATTTGATTGAAAAAGGATTAATTTTTACGGTGGAAAAAAATTTTAAAAATTTATTTGGTTGAAAAAGGACTAATTTTTACGGTGGAAAAAAATTTTTCATAAATGAGAAAACCGTAGAAAAGTGTCCAAAATATTACCTAACTGTGGCACTGTAGTTGGCCATGAAACGTCCGAAAAGTTTTGTCAGAATAGAAGCAGGCAAGAGTTAGTGTAATTAGAGAGAAAGAGAGAAACACTGAGTGTGACAAAGAGAAAAATCGTGATGGAAGAAGAAACTTACAGAATAACATCCATGGAGATCGCATTGCAGGAAAAAGATTCCATTATATCCAAAGATACCATTAAATAACAGTTGAGGGAGGTTAATTTTATTTTTGCGAGATCTATAGGTAATAAATCTAAGTTAATGTTCGTAATGCTTCGTGAATGTAACGAACTGTTAAGCCGCATTAAAGATATTCCTGCACGGTTTTTTCTTTAACAGTATCGATGCTCCAACAAATGTATGATTAAGAAAAAATATATAAAAATAATAATGTTCTTACCATACTTGCGATTTAACCAATCTTCTGGCATAGGACAGTAAGTTCCTGTAGGATCCACCTCGCCCAGCGACGGTATTTTGCTAGGTCTACCCAACTTGCTCCTCCATCGGATAGCTGCCAATTGACCTAGCAAAGATGCAAAATTTTTATTACATATTTCTTTATGATACATATATAAAAAACACCGATCAGTATATCTTTCCCTATCAGTGCAGAATTTTGTAAGAAATAATTTTCTACTGATCTTCTTCTGATTCAAGATCAAAATTAGCCTCTCGCAAACGCTCGTCTAAAACTACAGATTTATTAGACCAAAGCGATGCCTACCTTCATAGCCAGCCTTATCCTCCGCCGACTTGCTTTCGTTCAACGCCGTCAAGAACAAGCCGCGCTCCTCCGGGGTGAGCTTCGACACCAGCTCCTTCGCTTGCCGCTTCGTCAGAGCGTCGACGACGGCGTCGGGGGAGATCGGAGTCCTCGCGGACGAGAACGTCCTCGTGCGGAAGCAACCCAGGACTCGCGAGACATCGTCGACGTACAACGACGCGGGACACCGTCGTGACAGGACGTTGCTCATCGACGACTCGCAGCTGGAGCAACGCGGTCGCTTAACGCTCAGCCGCATGACATCCCTCGAGGTGAACCCTCGCCGACCAAGCGCCGTCATCGACACGCACATCTTGTCCAGGTGCGGGGGAACGTCCAACGGTGGCTCACACGTCGACTCGCGGTCAAGTGTCTACGATGCTATCCGTTCTCTCTTTTTCGAGAGGTTGCCCTCTCGAGAAGCATCCGGCGCGATCTGGTACGTGCGGGAACGCATTCAAGGACCCAGTGATGTCAGACACTGACAGGAGACCTCAGCCCATGCCGGCCCATGCGCAGTGAACGTGTGGGCCGTCGAAGAGGCTAACCGGGCTGATGCCTGACGTCTCACGTCATTCACGTGCGTCAGCTGGCGAAGCCGACCACGTGACCACCTCGACAGACCCGTACCTAAGACGTATGTAAAGTGCTATTGCATATATGTAATGTGATGCACAAGCTTTTTTTTTTTAAGTTAACCCTTCTTAAATTAATATTAATAAATTCTATTGCAATACTATAAATGTACATTGTAAATAATTATAATATTATTAAAACTAAACTAAGACAAAATAATAAAGTGACAGTATATAAATCTCATTCGCAACAGATGGTGACATTCGTAATGCATGTCAATTTTAGATTTTTACATGCGATAAATAAATAAATTCAATTGCTGCTTTACTTCTAATCGAATCGAGGAGTCGAAAATACAAAAATTTTTGAAGCGCCTCCTTTCTTGGGATGGTCATAAAGATACTTCATTGCACTAACGTGACTGCACGGGAGTTTGCGCATGCGAGAGATTCTTCCCTTCCGGCTTCCCCCCCTCTGTGACCTCAGTTTTTAGCTACAATTTTTTTCGTGAAGGACGTTACAGAAAATAAACCTACGATCTCTGTGCCAAGAAAAACTTAAAAGACCTCGTTCCGTTGTTGACATTACATGCAAAATATGGTATACCTGCACTTTCCGTCAAACCTAACCGAGGAAGAGTTGATGCTGCAGACTAAGTTCAGCAAGCTAAAGAGAAAGGTATAGGTTATGTTTTTGTATCACGCATACGATGAAATTTAATTTGATATCTATTAAATAAATATCTATTTTCTGAGTTAAATCCATAACGCAAAATCCAAATTTCTGTTTAATCTGCATGTGAAGATCATTTCCTCAAGTAATTGTGCGTGTCTAGCTGTATGGGGGCGATTACCTTATCTTATTCTTTATTGTTATCGATCATTCGTCGTTTTATAGAAAAGAGCACTACAAGATCTGAAGGCTCCTAAACAGGAAGCAGAACGCATTCCTCAAGCGCCAAAACGGCCTACAGAGGCAAGAGATGCTCGCGAAGTAGCCAAGAAATTGATCAAGTCCGGCGTAATCACAGCCCCGAAGACCCCTAAGCGGCCGGAGCAGACATTCAAGAGATCTCGCGGACTGGAGAGGAAGTTAAACAGCACGGAGAAGACGATCAGTTCCTACCAACCGTTCTCCGCGATGCAGGAGGAGGAAGAAACGGAGGTAGCTAGGCCGAAAACCAAGGATTTATATAATAACTTTGTCGGTGCTCAGGCCACCGGGGAGAGTAACGCCAGTGATACTCAATCTCCCACTAAACAGGAGATTAAGCCACGTGCCGGAAATACAATATTTGTATGCGGTTACAAAATAACGGAGGATTATCTAAAGAAGCATTTCCAAAGTTTTGGAAATATCGTCAATATTTCCATGGAAGTAGAGAAAAAGTAAATATACAAATCATTTTTTTCTCATATATCTATACTAATCACTCAAAGTAGTTTAGATATTTCCAATGTAAATCGTTAATAATTAATACTGTTTTCATTCTTACAGCCATGGCTTTATAACTTTTGAGAAGGCTGAAGCGGCTGAGAGAGCGATAAGCGAAATGGACGGTAGTATGGTCTCGTCCATCCAATTAAAAGTATCGTTAGCAAGGAGGCAGCCGGTAATAGAACCGGTCAGCGACACTATGTCCAGCTCTATGTGGTCACCGATAGCAGCTAATTATTCCCAGAAAAGTGCACACAAAGACAGGCGGGAGCTCAAGGTATACGAAGAGGATCTCTTCCAGTAAATGTAATATTTTTGTTGGCCACAATTTCTGCAATTTCTAGTTCCAATTTTGTATATAATATCAATATGACATCATGGCATATCATGATACTTTTTGTTGTATCTAGTATTATTTAAAAATGTATATTAATTTATATTTTTAATTATGTTCTTCCATTTCTCATTATGATCATTTATCAACAAATTCGAATAGCATTCTTCTGTATATTCTTTATGTCTAATAATTGATTTATTATTATAATTGTATAACAAAGTTCATAATAGAGTATAGAAATATTCATTTATATATAAGAAAAGATATTATACAATCGAACCTTGTTAATCAGCTGAATCTTAGTCTTTAATTTCTTTTTTTTTTGTATTTTCACTGATTGATTTTGATTAATTAGATTATGTAGAAAATGTTTTCTAGCTATTTTATTAAATAATATTTGGTGTCGAGTTAGACATCACTGACTCTATTCTAATCTTTTTGCTAGTAATTTTTTTCAAATTAGATTGAAGACATATCATTTATATCACTTATAGCTTCAGTTTTTTTAAAAGTTATAAAATCATGGTTGTAAGAAAGAAAGAAGCATTAATTATCATATCGAAATATCTGTTAAAACTTTAAGTGCACATTATTCTACATGAGAAAAAACAAGGTGTACTTTAGGAGAAAGTAAAAAGTAAATAGAAATTATTCTCCGACAAGAAATTAGAAAAGCAAAGGTTCGAATTAAATAATATATTTTCTTATTATTGACTGATGTATGTATGTATATATATGTGTACCACATAAAATTAATTAAGAACTGTCGTAGTGTCCTTAAAATATTAAAGTTTATAATTGTATATTTGGCATATATTAATGATATATATGTATAATTACAATTCGTTTCTTACAAACCTGGCACTTCGTTTTATTCTAATATGTGTACAAGAACTCTAATTCCATTCGAATTCTCCTTACTTTGTCGTGTTCTAGTCGGTATTTTTTTTTTTCGAGACAAAATCGTACAAAACAGATTTATACAATTACAGGTACGAAATTTTAATTTCTACGAACCAATGAATTATTTACGAATTTGTGTACACGATGTAGGCGAAATGGATTGCGAAGGTGCTATTGAGGGGGATTGAAGTAATCCCAATGATGATGATGTGTTACAATCCGCGTGTTACTAAAATAATATATCAACAAGCCTACGATCAGAAGTAACAGGGCGCATATCGCTAATTCCACTTCTCTGACCTTCTCTCTCGTGTCATCCACACTTAACGTGGACGTTAGATACCTTATGAGACACCTCATGGCTCTTATACCGGTCGAACGAAGTGCTCGAAGAAGCTGCTGCGTAGTGTCTATAACACCGGGTTCCGTATCGGAGCGTTGACTCGTTGGCGTTTCACTTCTCAGAGAAAAGAATTGAGCCGGAATTTCGGAAGCTGGAAAGGCGATGAAGTGAGTCGAGCTTAGGGGAAAGGAGGATACTGGCGATTGAGAGGACTCCCGTTGCTTTTCCGTAAGGGAGCTTTCTCTCTCGTCGGAAGAGTGCGAAATAACAGCACGCTTGGGCTGACCGTCTTTAGAGACATCGTGTCTCGCGTCCGAAGAATAGGAAATGACGGCACGTTGCGGCTTAGCTTCCGCCGAGGTACCACCGTGTCCTGATACAGGGCTTGAATCGGGCATATCGGGAGTCACGGAGATGGCTGGTGGCAATGAACGGACCGGAGACGCGGTTTGCCGCATACTTTTGCTAGGCGAGGGGGATCTAGATCTTGAAGTGCGAGGGGTTTGTTCTTTACTATCGGACACATCGTCTTTGCTGCCACGAAGACCTGTAGACGTTGCGCTCAGCTCGGTGGTAGCAGTAGCAGTAGCAGTAGCAGTAGTAGTAATAGTAGTAGAAGTAGTAATAGTAGTAGTAGTAGTCTGGACAGAGATACTTGGAGATTCGCCGACGCGCTCCGGCGACTCTCTCGATTCGGAGGGCCGGGCTGAGGGCGCATCCGACGGAGGATATGAAGCACGAGATTCATCCACGTGGGAGCCCGACGTGGTTCGTGAACTCAAAGTTAGGGGGTGTTCGGAATCTAAAATTCGTAAGGACTTATCTTGAGCGACCGTGAGCAAGTGTGTGGTGGATTCGTCTTTACCCTTGGTCTCTAATGTATCTATCGTAAGTGTCTGTGGGGGTGGGAATTCTTTGGTTTGAGCAACTAAGAGGGGATGTGATATCTCTTTGTCCCTGACATCTACTACGTTTGTTTTAACAACCTTTTGGTCCTCGCCAGCCTCGGCCTTCTCTTCCGTGGACGCTGGTTCGTTCACGACAGTCTCACTGGGCTTCGCCGTTTCCGGTGGAACGTCCTGCGAAGCAGGTTGCCGCTCCTGAACTGGACTATCATCCGTGGTGGGAATGTCGGTTATCTTGTGGCTCGCGGACTCCTTCTCGCTCTCACGATGTCTCTCTTGCGCCTGGGTAGTCACCACGGTCTCCAAGTGGCTCCTGATCGCCATCAGCTCTCTGATGATGGCAGGCGACAAACTCTCCTCCATGGAACCGCCGCCTCTCAATTCCGACGCCGTGATCATCATCGCGTCCACTTCGGACGCGACGATCTTGTGAGCTTCTATCTGCGACACGCTCAGTCGATCGACCTTTAAATCTCCGACCTCGAGACTGCTGATTCTCAACGGCTCGTCGGACAGCAGACTCGACTTGACTTGTGGCCGCGATTGCGATTCTTCCGTGATGCGTTCCTCCAGATGTGGCGCCGATCTGTGCTTGTTCTTCAAGTCGATCTCTCTCGTGGGTGACGGTGACGTTAGCGACACCGTGTCGTACGCCATTCGGATGTCCTCTTCTCCTGGGAGCTGCTCTTCTTCTTCTTCTTCTTCATCTTCTTCCTCCTCTTTTTTTTCCTCTTTTCGTAGAAATTGTGGCATCGGTAGCGGAGGTACGGGAGGTGTGGCCGTTCTACTTGGACTGGGGATACGCTCCATCGATACCATTATTTGCGAGCCCGATCTGGAAGGAGTCATTATGAGTTTTGCCTGGGTTATCTCCTCGATCACCATATCGTCCGGCAATGGATCGGTCTGCGTCGCCGTTGTTGCCTCATTTGTCTCCGCGTATTCGAACGGGGTGCGAGGTCGTCCGACTATCGCGCGGTCTTTCCTCGCCCTGGGTGGTCGCGGCGGTGCCGGAAGTGGACGACCTTGGATCCTGTTGAGCAATTTGCCGCTGCGAAGATCCCGATGTTCAACTTCATCCGCGCCGACCTCGATGTACGGCGCGGATTCGGACGGTACTAGACTCGCGCTGATGATCGTCTCCGACGTCATGCTAGTGTCTCCCGTTCTAGTGGGCCCCAGAGTGCTGTACGCTCGTTGAGGTCGTTTAGGCGGGGTCGGTTTCGGCATCGTGGCGAACTTGCCGCGTTTTCTTCTGGGTGGCGGCGGTCTAGGCGGCTTCTCCCGCTTCTCCACGATCGCGTAACCCGAGACATCGCGCGACGAACCGTTCTCCTCCTCCCGCGGTATGTCCTCCTCGACGTAGTCGGCCTCCGGCAGAGATTCCGCGCCATGCGACGTCCTGTCCTCATCGCCGGCGACCGATGTCCTCGAGCGGGATCGTCTTTTCGGCGGTATCGGTACCGGCTCCGGCGCGACGTCTTCCCGTCCAAGACGCGCATCCAAATTCTCGATGTCCTCGTGACTCGCAGACATGACGACGTCACCGTTGGCGAATCGCTCGGCTGCCGATTGCCGCGATCGCGACGATTTCGCCGGAATTATCGGCTTTCTGGACTCGATGATCTCGATCTCCCACTCGTCGTGATGACCGTTGCAAATCGGTGTTGCGCCCACGTCACCGTTTCTTCGGTCCATCACCGCTTCCCGATGCGAACGTTTTCTGCGTATCGGTACGACCGGTGGCATGGACGAAAGAGCGGCGGACGAGTCGGGTACAGCAGTAACGGGTGTCGGTGGGGCGAGTATCGATGTTTCCATCGGCGGCTGCGAGTGACTGCGCAAGGACGACCTCGACTTTCTGCGCACCGGTTTCACCACGACAATGTCGTCCAACGGCTCCTGCAGTGGTTCCGGTTGATCTCCCTCCGCCTGGTACACCACGCGATGTCTAGAGTCGCTTCTGGAATCGCTCCTGGTGCGCTCGCGGAACATTTCGGTCGACGCCTCTCGACTGCGTCGCGCCGCCGCCGATCGTTCCCGTTTCGGTCTGACCGGTGGTATCGCCTCGTTGGACTCCACTAAACCCTCCTTGTGCTTCCGCAAAGTCCGCGTTCTCGCAGGACGTTGAGGCGGAGTAGGTGGTAGCTCGTCGTCCTGCAACGCGTTGATGACCTCTGATATGAGAGCATTTCGGATCTCATCGGTCAAGTAATTGCCCAGATTCATGTCGTCCTGGCTGATACCGCTCTCCCGCAGGAAGAACTCGTCCGAGTCGATCTCCTCTATCACTCCGCGACGCCTTCGATCGCATGAACTGCCGCTGGACGCTTGCTGCTCCCGATCCGATTGTATCGAGGAAGGCTCGTGCTCCTCTTCACCTTCCTCCTCTTCGGACGCCTTGCGCGGTCTAAATCGCCTCGGATCCACCGCCATGAACGCCCCGTCGTATCTTTCTTGCTCCAGAACTCGCGGCATGTCCTCGTCCAACGATCGCGACCTCGGGATCGGTTTGAATTTCTCCTTGTACATCATCTGTTGATTCGCATGCCAATCATCTTGTACCGCCATGTCCTCGTTCTCTTCATCGTCATCTCGATGAACGTGTTCGATTTCCTGATCGTCATATAATTTCGGATGCATCCCTATCACTTCCGCGTGTTCGTACGATTCTTCCCGCCTTCGCGACTTGTGCGATCTCTTCGGGGGAGCGGGATGCCGTTCCGACATCTCTGACGATTCTTGCTCGTAATCCATGTACTGTATCTCCTCTTCATCATATTGTTCTCGCTTTCTCGTATCCTCCCACGGAATCGCGCGAGCCGCCGCCAATATCTCCTCCTCCGTTCTCGCGGACAATCTCGGCGGTTCCTCCATCGAACTCTGACGCAACGGAGGAGAGCCGTCGCTCCCCGCCGCTTCCTCCGGACGATCTTGGTCCTGAACGTAAGCCGAGTCTCCAAAACGTTGCGCCCACCTGGCGCCGAAGGATTTTGCCTTCCGCGCGCGAGGATAGGTCGCGCTCTCCGCCGACTGGGCCCTGGAATCCTTGGGCGAGGACGTCGCGTACTCGCCGCGTTTCTTGGACTTCTTGTCGAAGATGCGCGGATATGTGGCGAAGTCGAAGATATTGCGCTTGGAGCCGGCGGTGGACTCTGTCGAATGCTGCTGCTGTTGCTCGCGCAGGGGAGGCGGCCGCTTAATGCGAGCGAGTGCCTCGGGCAGGCGGATGTTAGGCTTCTTGATGGTGAACTTCGACTTGTCCGGCAAGTGGAAGCGCGACTTGTCCGGGAAATTGAACTTCGGTCTCTCCGGTAGGTGAAACTTGGACCTGTCGGGCAGACTGAATTTCCCCGTCTTCTCGGAGATGGATGTTTTTATCCGGTCGATTCTGCTGGGTCGCTTCTCTACGGGCTTGCGAGACTTGTCCGACTTGCCGCTACTCGCCGCCGCCGATCTCACTATGGTCGTTGTCGTCGTCGTCGTTGTCGTCGTTGCTTTTTCGGGCTTCTGCCGTTTCTGCGGGAACGAGAACATGGGCCGCTGGATACCACGGAGCCGAGAGCGTAGCTTACCAGCTTGTGTCTTCAGGCGTTGAGGTAGGCCGCGAGTGCCGCGTTGACGCGGCAGCTCCTCTATCGCCGACGAGTCTACCTGGAATGACAAATGCTTCTCTGAAAAATAATGTGAGAAATGGCGAATCTTATTTTTTAAAAAATTTCTCAATATTGTCTAGACGTTTTAAAAAAATTTTTGTTTATACAAATTATATATTTTCAGAAACTATTAGAAATATAGCCAACATTCTTTTTAATTTTTATTTTAATTTAATCAAGATTTAATAATAATGAAATTAGAATAAATTAATTATGAATTTGTTTTTTACAAATGTTATGTAAAATATGTTCGAATGTTCGAATGTTTTTAACTCTGAGCTACATCAATTTTATAATATATCTGAATGTTAATACAAACATTTTTAATAGTAAAAACTCTTCTATATATTTTCTAAAAAAAACTGGAATTGTTAGAATTAAAATATTACAAATAATTCATTTTGAGGTCACCATGAAAATGGATTAGAGTCGTGCGAAGCATTCGACATGCAATACCGTTTAGAAACACGCAAAGTGTATTAAAAGTGAATATTTTTAAGTGCTGTGAAGTACAATAGCTAGCCACTGTAGCTAATCGCGAGAGGTAAGCCATCGTCAGGTTCGGCATCGAATCTATTGTCGGATCCACCGAAATAAATCGCGAAGACTTTCGCGGGCTGACGCGGGGCGCGAATCTGTGCGGCGCGAAACGACTTCACGTCCTCATTGAAAAATATCGGCAAGGTCGTGAGATGATAAATATCCCGACGACGCTCATATATATTCTTGGATCCGATTGCGCCACCGAGATGGAGAAGCTCGAGTTTTCTGGAGCGTACTGCGTGCGACGGTGTTGCACAATCGGACAGTGACACGCTCGCGTTCGCGCGCCTCCTTTTTACACGCGAGTTTCGCTAAATATAGGCGGCATATTCGGCGCGAGTAACAACCCAAAGACAACAAGACCAGCCCCGCGAGCCTCGTGGCGAGAGCTTTTAAATTTCGGGGGGAGGGGTCTCTATCGATTCGCGCGGCAGCTATATTTAACCGTTTTTTTATTTTATTCCCTTTTGTTCAATTCGCGAACGAGGATGCCTCCGCACCAGCCACGATTCTCGGCCAATGAATATTGATTTACCGATTGGTGTTATTATTTTCACATATATATAAGTTAAAACAGTCAAATAAAACAAATTAAACCAGTAAATTCCATATGTGAGATAAAAAAATTAAATTTATGAAGAAAGACTAAGACGGTGTTATTGAATCATCAATTTAAAATGTTCCTGTATTCCTGATAATAGAAACATCTCATTAAATTGACTGATAGCTTTTAAAACTGTCTATCCACCCTGTCTAGCCACCCGCAGTTTCACAAGTGTTTTCATGGATTAAACAAATTTTCCTACAACAGCCAAATTCTTCTTCCTCGTGTACGTTTCTTAAATATTTATCAGGCGCCCAACTGTGAACTCTACCTGACTAGTGTTAATCTCGCCGTCGGTTCTCGACTCGGTGTAGGGAGTAGGTGTGAGGAACCGCTCCTCAAGCCTGTCCTGAAACTGCTGTGCCGTGGGTTCCAGCTCCTCGGCGGAGGTGTCACCGCCGGTTTCGCCGAGCTCGCGGCCCTCCATCGCGCTGTCCTCGATTTTGCCATCCAGCGGCAGGATCACGTCGCCGTCCCTGGTCAACTCCGGCGGCAACCGGCCCCGGTCGTCGATGCTGTCGTCGCTGTCGGCGACGGGCATCACGTCCGTGTCGGTGATTCGCACGACCGGTGCCATCGCCGGATGCGGCAGCGACGGCGGCGGCGGCGGCGGCGGCGGCGCGATCGGTTCGTAGTCGTGCTCGCTATAAGCGAGAATTCGCGCTTATACTGTGAGACCATGTAAATAAAACTGCGTGCTAACATTGAATCATTAATAACGGTGTTGACCCAAAGAGTTTTGTATGTCTTACCATATACGCCATAATAGAATTTTATTATAAGCGTATAATGATGAGATATGATTTGATTAAAAATAAGAATTATTAATTGTGTACTTTCTACTTTACAATGTCATCTAGCTTTTGATGTGCCATTCAAAATTTTGTTGAATTGACACTTATTTTTTGAATAATTTTGATAGCATGATCTTCACTAAAACGTGATTGGAAAGTCAGGCATCAGTTATAGATGACTACTATGATATCAATGTATTAATTAAACAACTGAGAAATACGTTTACTTCTTATGACTTTGCCATTCATAAAGCTGTAAATTTTGAATGTATTTTTAACAAAATGTAATGTGATAACTTGATTAGATTTTGTCAGGCGGTTTCCTTACCGTTTTGGTAAAGTTAATAATCGGAGTATTGAATACAAATGTGTATAGCAAAAATTGTACAAGTCGCGATTGATAATCTATAATATCGTTGAAAGTGTTGAAACCTCCTGAATCGCAACGATCGAAAATGTAAATTTTGTTCGAGAGTTATGATGAAAATAGCATGATGAAATATGAATTCTTATTCCCGGGATGTCGGTTAAGTTGTTTTCATATCACGATATTCGATAATTAGTCGTATTTATAAGAAAAAAATAATACATTTGATAGCAATACGAAATTCGTTATTCGATCATTCTAAACTTGTCTAGACTTCGTGTTTTACATATCTTCTATTTTCTCCCATTTGATGACGTATTATTCCACATGTTTGACCTCTTTCCAATCTCAAGAGACCAATGTAAACGAATGCAAGGCAAAATTACACAGGATACCTATATCGAAGAGATCATGTCGATCGAACAAAACTCATCAACTGATACATGCCCTCATGTCATTTCGCGTTATGTTCACTTTTTTTAGAATCGAGCAGAAAAGTCGGTTATATTTTTGTACTGTTGTTTTAAAGGATGTAGTACTCCGCACGTTTCCCATCGACTTTCTATAACATTTTATCTCTTTACAGATCTCCGAAAATACATCACTTTTCTATATGAAAAATTACGATTGTATCTAAAAATTTCTCATTCTATCTACTATGAATGAAATCAAAAATTGAGAGTGGTAATAAATTCGATAAATTTAAAATTTTTAGTGCTATTCAGGTATAGAAAAGTTCAAAATGTGACACAAATATTGACAAAAATATCTGGAGACGTCTTAAATTTTTTAAACTGTCTTTCTCTACTTTTCAGACATCTCTTGTATTTTCTCGTGTATTTTCCGTGTTGTTTGAAATATATCATGCACTGATTTTTATTCAGTAAAGCGGAAAGATGCTTTTGCTTCTCTGTAAAGCCGAGATTCGGACTCGTTGAATTAGATTAGGTATACTCTCAATGTCCACAGCAAACGCGCTCTGTTCAGTGTAACACGGTCCCGTCAGATGTCCAGCCTCATCCCGGGGACATCGCAGCATGCGCACGATGTACCGGTACGCGGATGCGGGACACGCGGGTCGCGGACGGGGAAACTGGACTTGGCGGATTTGGGAGCTGACCGAGCTTTCTATCTATAGCCACCCGGGCGAACCTTAAATAGCAGCGGCGGTACGCGACGCGGTTTCGCACGGTGTAACCTATCCGATGCGCGACCGATATTTGCGATGAAATGAACAGGTAATCCTCCTGGAGGTACCCGCTTTACGTAGCCGACGATCGGAGGGTGGGTCCAAGTGTGTTTCTCGTCGGTTTTTCGACTTGGACGGGACGTTGGTGTACAGGGGGGGATACTGACCTGCAGCGGACCGCAGGTGGCTGCTGCATCGTTCTGGATGACGGTCTGACGAGGAGAGCACGTCGTTCCGGCAGAAGCGAGTCGCTCTGGTAATACTGACACCCGCAACGGACCTCGCGTCCGAGGCTCGACGTCGACGACGCCCGCGAAGTGCGTCCTCGTTGCTCCGGCTCCATCCCCACCTCCGGAGAGACGCCGCGGCCGCACACGGAGGTCCGGCACTAATCCACCTCCAGTCTCCTCTTCCTCTATCCGCCTACCTGAACGACGATCAAGGAGCGACGGCGACGACGACGACGACGACGACGACGTTTCGTCGTTCCTCCCGAGACGTCGTTCACGAAATACCCTTCGCCACCCGAATCGAAGGGAAGAGGGAGAGACAGCAAGAGGAAGAAGACAGAAAGAGAAAGAGAGAGAAAGAGGAAGAAAGAGGGAAAGATAGAGGGAGAGAGACAGAATAGAGAGGAGGCTGAGCGGCCCGCTAGAGCAGCCCGCTGCAGCGGCTCCTAGGCGACTCCCTTCTGTACCCTCGGCCGCCCATCGTGAGCGCGACCGGGGAGGACATCGGATTATTTATAGCAGCCTCCGGTATTCGACGGGCTACGACACTGTCTCGGATCGTTCGAGCCGCCGGATCACCTGGTGCATCCGCGGTCCACGCAAATTTTCTACCGCGGATGCATTGTCGCTCGGCCGGGAATTTTAAGATACGGACTGGTGTTTCTCCACTTCTTCATTTGGTTTCGGTTTGATAAACGTATATAGAGGGAAAATCGTGTCGATGAGAATTTTCGCGATTGGCTGAGTACCAAAAGCGACGGTATTTCTGTAACGTGCACGTTAGTATCTGCAGTTAACTAAGGAAGAAAGCGAATCTCGACGTGACTTGTGAAACGCGTACGGGACTACTTGAACTCGCCACCGTCGTCATCTCTCAGCGATAAATGACGCTGACGAGTGCCGCTAACGCAGCAGGGAATTAGGGTATAGCTGCGGTATTCTATGTTGCGTTAGCACCACTTATCGATGTCTTAATTATCGGTGGAAGGTCGGCGGTGTGAGCGCTTTCACGCGACTCGGTCTTTTAGTCATTACTTAATTATATGCACAAATTCGCTTCTCTCTAAGTATTTCTTGCTGTTATTAACAATATATATATCCATGCAGATTGAAAATGCGACTTAAAAAAACGAGATGCTGCGCTACAGAAATTAAAGGAAGAAGAATAAAAAAAATATGAGCCTCACACGAGCACACCCGCGGTTCTCCGCTCTTCCGTTTCCACTTGATAATTATTCCTCGAAGATCCTCCTCGCAGCTACGGGATGAAACAGGCGCGATTCGATGGATCTGAGTAAAAAGTATACGTATATGTTTCTCGAAGCAGGAAAGTGTTTCGACTTGAGATAATAGAAAAACACGAAGATTACGTGATTTGATTTGAAAGTGAAATTTTTTCCTTTCGAACAATCTCTCTCTCTCTCTCTCTCTCTCTCTCTCTGCGCTGCGATGGCGCGCGTTATCTCGCAGCACGCGAGCGTATAAAGAAAGATATAAAGGCGGACGAACGTCATGCGCGGGCGACATGGATTCGGCGATTGTGTCACATCTTGGCACTCGATGCCAGGCACCGCGATACAATGCTCGATGATGGCGACGGCTGTCGCCTTTGTTAATGCACCTCGGTCAATGTAAAAATAATTCGTAGAGAAAGACGCAGCTGCATTGCATTCTTCTCGAAAGCTGCACGTTCGTAATTCTACATATTCGTAACTCTGTATACACGGACGACGTTTTCCGCAGTGTATATACACGTGTATTTGGTGTCCCAAGATTACCGGCACATCTTTCACGTACCGAAAAGATTAATTAAGAGCTAAGTCTTCCCTTACAATTTTGGCCTGTATCGTCATGATGCAGTTATATTCATTCTCAAGCTCAATAGATAAATAAAGAGAATGTATAAAAGTCGGTACACTTGTAACATACTTAATGACTTTACATTTTTGCTCAAAATGGTTCAAATTAATCGAGAAGTGGCAGTAGAAGCGATGATAATTCTGTGACACCCTGCATACTATACAGAGGATTCAGTGACGAATGGTAAAACTGAGGGGTTGATTTCACGTACAAAAATAAATCGAAATCGATCATTTAGGTTTGAAAAGCATTATAAGCTCCACAATTTTTGAAAGCCACTTTCTTGAACGCGGAGTCTCAGTACAAAAAAAATTTAGTCTAGTCTGATTTATTTTTGCGTGTATTTTCTCGATTGTACCATTCATCACGGGACAATCCGTATAAAACGTTATATATATATTTTTTTTCCTTGATGCCTATCGCGTATTATACAGGGTGTTCCAGACGTACCACGTCATTTCGACCTGTCAAACTGTTAAACCGAGAGGTTCTCTCGTAGAGAGAATAGAGTGCCAACAGTTCTTGAATCATGAACAATGAGAAATTCAAGTTTCACGAGTGTAAATAAGTAACGAAGTGCCGTATCTCAGCCAACTTTAAGCGAGGCTTGCTTCTAGATAAACTTTTAATCCAGAACTCGTTCAAGATATTCAATCTATAAAACTAAATGCGGCGAATCGTGCTGCACGATTTAAGAGGTCTCGCTGAAGTATAAGAACTCCGCTCGAAAGCACGTCAACGATCACGCGACTGAAAGATGGTCCGGTAGGTCTGAAACGCTCCATACTTTTGCAACAGTTTATAAAATATATAGAATATACAGTACATGTTATGCATGTGTGTATCGTGTCTGTAAATATATAGTACATTGTATGTGTGTGTGTGTGTGTGTGTGTTACGCTTAGGAGTCCTATAACGACGTTCGCTCGACGTTCGTACGACGGCCGCTTAAAATCCGATATAGCGTGGTGTCGTTCAGGAGGAAAGGGGGGAGGGGTGATCGCATGTACAAGTGAGCGCCTAGCAATTTCTTCCGATAATCTTCTCCGACTCGCATGGCCGCTCGCTTATCCCGCGCGAGTCGTCATCCGTACGGTTAACGTCAAACTCCTCGTCAAGCTCGTAGACCGCGCTCTACTTTTTGCTTATAAATAAACGAGTGAGGAGGAGAAGAGACGTTTCCATGCGCGCGTGGGTGACGCTCGGCCGGTTGCAAGCAACCACGACGACGATGACGACGGCGGCGGCGGCGGCGGCGGCGACGTGGTGTCGGAGACGAAATGATGCGTCTCTGCCTTGAATCGAAACGACGCGGGGACGGTGAGCGCGCTTTCACGGTGTTTGAAAATACAAGACAGAGAAAATGCAAATATCGGGGATGTGTGTTATTCCGGTTATTCGTACGAAAATTATATTGCCACTCCATATATATATATATATATATATATGCATATATATATGTATATACCTATGTTACAGTTCAAGCATTCGAGCGTATTTTCAAGTGTGTAACTCTTGAAGAACCAGAAGCGGTAATTTTATCTTTACATTATCAGTCCGAAGCGACGGTGCGTAGCAGCAACACTCGCTCGATCGCCGATCGTGTTTCCCTGGGATTCTCCGTGATTCGCAGCGTTGTCGTTTATAATCGGACGGTGTAGGCGAGTCCCATCGTCCGGCGATTACGCGAAATCGGTAGAGAGCGATTATCCTGCCTCGGTGGCCGCGTGGCGACGTTATCACGGCGTTGTCGCGCGCTATACCCCCGGTGTACCCGCGTCCAAGTTCCTGGGGAGGGACTCCGGGATCCCTGAGTCACTGACAGACACACGTGCTGTGCGCGGTCCCGCGAATTACGCGATTACTGCGAAGACGCGGTTTAATGAGGTCTCAGTGTAACGATTTTATTGTTGCAATTGTAATTACAGTAGTCGTAATCGTAATCGTGGTTGTGAGATGGTAACAGGGACGTCGTGTCGGGGACCGGGCAGGGTAGATGCCGGGGTCAGGCGAGCTCGTTGCTGTCCGGGAAGTGATCGCGGGCGTCCAGGCAGGCGGCTAGATCGAGCACTAGGTGGTGGAGGGTTGGATGCTCAAGCACCTCCGCGTCCGGCAAAGGCGGATGACAACGTGGCCTCTGCTGACGGCCCCTGAACGAGCGGTGCAGGTTCAGCACCACGTCACAGAACACGTAGCGCACCAGCAGCAGCCGCAGAAAGTCGTCACCGAAGAACTGCAGCACGCTGGTCTCTACAAGTTGCGAGATCGCGGGTCAAATTATGTCACATCGAACATCGGAAACGATTCGATCTGGTGGAGAAGAATGTCTTTCAAAATCTTTCAGTCAGTTCTCTTTTTTTTCTAATTTGCGGCGTTAAAATAAATGCGCATTTTTCTTTGGAGTTAATCCTTCATCGATGAGATTTCGATAAAGGACGCCTCGGCAACTTTTTAATTTTCTCAGATGTCTCGACTCGAGTTTTTAAACAGGCATTTTTCTTTTCTAGAAGCAACGTGAAGGCGAATAAAAAAAAGAGCACAGTTATCGTATCATTATATATATATATAAAGTTATGCAGCGTCTTCGAATCTTGCTCTTTAATTTTCGATTTTTCAACCGAGTTTGCTCAAGGAAATTTATGACAGAAAGATATCGCTATTCCGGTTGTATTTTGAACAAAGCACATAAATGTTTAGAGCAGAGAGCTCGTGATATAACATCGGAAATTTCCGCGGTAAAGGTAATAAGTATCCCTTAACTCAGGAGTTAAAGAGACACGCAGAAATCGGAGAACGGGAGTTCGCCGATAAATTCGTTTGGATCTAGGCCAAATGCGTTTATTGTTGTAACGCGATCGTAAGTCGCATTCAATGAGCCAGTCGGCTGCTGCTGCACAACGAACACGCCCTCGTTTTGGCGATAAAATCTTAATTTTGCTCGCCCTTCTCTCAGTGCCGCGCTATAACTATCAAACACCACGCGATACACCGGTCAAGTTGACTAAATTTTTCTCAATGCCTATACCCGTTTTTTTCAGGAACAATTCAAGCCTATTCAGAAACGTTTTACCTTAAATTAAATTGCGGTAAACATTCAAGATGGATATTTTAAAAGTAATTTCTTAAAATAATAGTGAAAGTATTTGAATTCGGCAATTAGTGCCTGTAAAACATCAATTACTCCTGTCTCGAGACTTAGAATATAAATTCATGATTTCAATTACAATTTTTCCATTAATAATGCTAATTTTTAGCCAATCAGCGAGAAATTGATTGAGAGACACGGTTCAAGTTGTCTAGCATTCATCGTTCTCCACTCTCGAACTCGCTCCTTGGTCCGTTTTCGTCTCATCGACACTTGGGACAATTGGTTGCGTCGAGTATCCTTACCGCATCGGGAGCGCGTTACGAGCTGACTGGCCTCGTTAAGGAATCGC